GTGCGTGCGTGCGTGTGTGTGTGTGCGTCAATGTGTGTGTGTGTGTGTGCGTGCGTGCGTGCATGCATCTGGTTGAGCGTGTGTGTGTGTAACTGTAAATGGGAGTGTGTGTGTAAATTAGTGTTTGTATGTGAATCAGCGAGTGTGCATGTGTGTAAGTGAGCGTGCATGTGTGAATGAGTGTGCATGTGTGTAAGTGAGCGTGCATGTGTGTGCGTGAATGAGCGTGCATGTGTGAATGAGCGTGCATGTGTGAATGAGCGTGCATGCATAAATGATTGTTTCTATGTGAATGAGCGTGTGTGCGTGAATGAGCGTGCATGCGTGTAAGTGAGCGTGCGTGCATAAATTATTGTTTCTATGTGAATGAGCGTGCGTGAATAAGAGCGTGTGTGTGTTTGTGGAGCGTGGGGATAGTTACTGTCACCCGTACGTGTGGCACCCGTTCTCTGAACCTCTCTCACACACGTCGTTCACTCATCAGGATATGTTGTTACGGCGGCAGCGGCACCGCCACCACTACCAGCAGCAGCAGCAGCATCAGCAGCAGCACCACCAGCATCAGCAGCAGCAGCAGTAGCAGCAGCAGCAGCAGCAGCAGCAGCAGCAGCAGCAGCATCACCAGCAGCAGCAGCAGTAGCAGCAGTGAAGCCTGGCTTGCCAAGGTTGACACCAAAACGTACATCTGGCCAGCCAATGGAGCAGGCTAAATGGTAAGCACACACATTCATCTGTGAAGGAGTACACTGCGTATCAGTCAACGATGATTACCACCTTAGTGTTGGCATGTGGCGGACTAGCCGGCTGTAAAATCTGTGTACAAAGCTTAAGACAACGTTTTTGTAGCGAGAGTAAATGTCACGGTCTCTGTATGAGGCGAACAGCAGGCTTTCACAGGAAAATCTATAACGTGTTATCACGCATCTATAACAACATGTCGTCGCGCGTCTATAACATGTCGTCATGTGTCTATAACGTGTTTTGATGCGTCTGTAACGTGTCATCATGCGTTGCAGGCTGCGGCTGCAGTTTGTTCCGGACTCGAAGAGCGCCGTGATGTTCAGCGACATCGAAGGCTTCATCAAGCGACAGTTTGGCGGCTTTGCACCGACGGGGGTCAACCTGTCCAAGGTCGTGGCCCTCGCCTTCCCCAGCGTGACCTTGAAGCAGCAGAGACTGTCGCCGGGCAACTACCGCTCGTTCTTTCACGGCATCGCTCCGAGGTCAACAGGTATGTGACGCGCGTGACGTTGACCGTGGCTTTTTATATCGAGCCCGTATGAGTGCCTGCGATTGGTTCTGCTGCTGTCTCTGCCTGACTACGTGTAATAAACAATATAATATATCGCAATCTAATATAAGTATAATAATAAACAATATAATCGCAATAATAACGAACAAATACGCTGTCTGTGTAGAACAAAGCGACAGCAATACGTGCAAAAAACATCATTACCTCTCTCTGTCTCTCTCTCTCTCTCGCAGCTTCAGTTGAACACGCACCAGCTCTCAAAGATTCCTCACACGCCTCAAAGGGGCTGATACCCCGCCTCCTGCCCGGGGCAGGTAGCAACACCGCCGTCACCGTGGCAACAATGCGAAGCTCGGCAGTGGCAGGTAGTAACACCGCCGTCACCGCGGCGACAATGCGAAACTCGGTGACGGTGACTACCGGGGCGTCGATGGCGGCGGCGGCAGCGTTGTCCCGCACGAAGCAGGTTCAGGAGGTGATCCTGCTGGACAATGAGGAGGATAGCGATCAGCAGACACCGCGAGGAAACCGCAAGCAGCGCTTCACTGCCCAGCAGGTGCTGGGCGGCGACGATGGCCCCAGAGCAGGTACGGCCAGAGTGGCGCCCCCTGTCGTCGGACGTGCTCCGCGAACGCATCTCAGTTTTCGTCGAAATTATTCGGTTGTCGAAGTGTGTGCGGCCTGCAAAGTTTGTGCAGGGTTAAAAGATTTTTGGTTGGCTACAATCTATGCGACCAGTCGGAACATTCATGATGAAAGTGTTTCTGGTTGGCTGTGATTCGTGTGACATTGAAATGTTTCTGATAAAAACATTTTTGATTGAAAAACATGTCACTTTGCAACCAATCAAAATATTCCCGACAAAAATATTTCCGGTTTTCTGCCACCCGTGCGACAATTGAAAATATTCCCCCAAGAAAGATTTTGTCGTATAGCCTATAGCTGACTTATGGGCCACAGTTTTATGGATAGGAATTACTTTTACGAAGAAAAGAGTTGGTTGCAATCCTGCCTCACTGCCAATAATACCATTAACGGTTGTCCATGTCAGGAAACATTTAGGGACCATCCTTATAAACCATTTGGCATTTCTTATCATTTCTCCACGAATTAGGTTAATTAATTAGGTTTTAATTAGGTTAATAAGGAGATATGTAAAGAAGTTATTTTCATGCCATCTTCCCAGCCAGCCTGGGTTGACGTCATACTCATATAATAGCAACACGGTGCCTAATGTTGTACTGGAGAGACAAGGTGGTAGTGCCATCGTTCAGTAATGGTATTGTATGTGTGACAGGAATACCCAAGAGCAATAGTCCCACTGCTGCACTGACCTCTCCCGTCAAGGGAACATTCTACTACAGCCGCAAGCAAGGCGACCCGAACCATGTCGATGACACGTTCTGCACGTCAATAAAGGTAGGATCGCGTGACGTCACGCGTGCGTGTCTTCCCGCATGCGATTGACGTCCCCATAAATGTCTCTCCATAATCGCTAGCTGGTTGTCTTACGTTAGAGGAGAGGGTGCTCACCCTCTCACTCTGTATCTCTCCCCCCTTCTCTCTCTGCCTGTGTGTGTGTCTCTCTCTGTCTGTCTCTCTCCCTTTCTCTATTAGTCTCTCTCTGTGAGACTGTTGATGATGCCACGTACCTGTATTGTCACACACATTGCTGCCTGTGTCAGTGATGTCACCACGTACCTGTATTGTCACACACATTGCTGCCTATGTCAGTGATGTCACCACGTGCCTGTATTGTCACACACATTGCTGCCTGTGTCAGTGATGTCACCACGTGCCTGTATTGTCACACGCAGTGCTACCTGTGTCAATGTCACCACGTACCTGTATTGTCACACACATTGCTATCTATGTCAGTGATGTCACCACGTACCTGTATTGTCACACGCAGTGCTACCTGTGTACAAAGGAGTTCAGCAACAACGTCAGCTTCATGCAGCACTGTCTGGGACACATCGAGCGTGACCAGTCACGTGTCATCGACCTGTCTGATCTCACGACGTGCAAACAGTGCCACCAACACTTCGAGACGCCGTTCGACCAGCAGAATCACGTCGACGAGGTAAGATTGTCACTTTGACGAGGTAAGATCGTGACTTTGACGAGGTAAGATCGTCACTTTGACGAGGTAAGATCGTCACTTTGACGCGGTAAGATCGTCACTTTGACGAGGTGTCATCGTCACTTTGACGAGGTAAGATCGTCACTTTGACGCGGTAAGATCGTCACTTTGACGAGGTGTCATCGTCACTTTGACGAGGTAAGATCGTCCGTGCTGCGCCGCGTGCTCGCGTCAACAAACTCTCCGATGTGTGACGCTATCGTGAAACCTCGCAGTAAACGGACGTTGTCTTTGTTCGTTGTCTGAATTGGTTGTGAAATCCAAGTGTGTGTATGTACGTTCAGCATGCTGACTTAGCTATACACCATGTGTGCTACAGTAACGGCGCGGCGTGACATGCCTGAAACATTTTTGTAAACGGATGTGAAGTTTGTACATTGCCTGCACGGTGGTAAAATGCTTTTGTATAAACAATTTAATTGTCTAAACGATTAATCAATACGTCATTTACTCATGATGAAGCAGAACTTTTTTTTAAGGCACTAGGCATACAATCGCTACATACGTATTTTGCGCGCGGTAGAAATGAACAGCCTTCCCATGAGTGGCGTTTCCACGCGCTGTTGCTGAATGATTGTTTAAGCGGGGGACACACCATCCGAATTTATTCGCACGTCCGCAGCGATTGTAAAATCGCAGCGAAATTCGCATGGTGTGTCCGCCGAAGCGCTGGCGAATTTCATCCGCACCTAAACTCGCAGCTATCGAACATGTTTGATATTTTCGCTGCGGACGTGCGAATAAATTCGCATGGTGTGTCCCAGGCTTTACCGCGATGAGCGAGCGTGTCGCGTGCCCGTTGCCATGGCGCTCAGCCTCTTCCCTCGCTCACGCAGGTGCATCGGCGGAAGAAGGTGCTGGCGACCACGTGTCGTATCTGTGAGAAGGCGTTCTCCTCGCAGGAGAAGTTCGTGCGTCACATGAGGATGACACACGTTGAGGGAGAGATGCCGTATTACTGCAGTAGCTGCGGATTCCGATCCTCCTTCCACAGCGATGTCCTCGACCACTTCAAGCGGGTACGTACGTACGCGTAACAATATGCGCGTGGCAGACCTGTACAGTAGCCTCTAGGATTTTACTGCATACAACTGTACTTACTGTATAACAAATCGTCTATACCCACACGTATTTGTTACCAGATACCTAATTTAATTGTTATAATTAATTACACATCAATGCTACGAAATTTGAACGGCGCCATGACACCCGCGACCGTGATGCCACCCCAAAAAAGTTGCGTATTTGACAATTTATTTTGCACGTCACAGACTGAGGTCTAATCACAAAAGTGCAATTATATTTATACCTAAATGCTATATAACTGACCGATATTCATTTTAGGGCAAATTTATCCATATTATAACTGAAACTATATGTCGTATGAATAAATAAGAAACACCCTCGGTCTGTAGCCCTTGGCTGGAAAGTGGTTTTGCGCAACTTATCAGATCGTGCGTTTTGAGTGTTGCCACCGTCATTGTAATTAAACTGTAGTCGTTAGTTTTAAAACATTAAAAAAAAATATTTCTAATGGTGATTGAACCATGAAACTTTTTATGTAGCGTAATTATAACCTAAATTAGCTGAAAATAAGCCTAGAACCTAGATTAAACTCTCCCTTTAACAATCACAGGCTGCTGCTAAAACTATTTAGGAATTTTGTCATTGGTCGGTACATACCTAAGAAAAATTTGTGTTCATCACAGAGTACAGATAGCAACTGCACGCGCGCATCGTGTGAGAGAACCAGAAGAGGTAGTGACGCGCGCCGTGTGAGAGACGAGAGACGAGAGAGGAGAGAGAGAAGAGAGGAGAGAACCACGAGAGGAAGTGTTGTATGCTGAGACTGTGAGAGAGAGATAGACGAGAGAGAGAGAGAGAGAGAGAAGACAGGAGTAGTTATGATGCGTACATTGTCGATGTGTGCAGTGGTGCGTGACTATGTGCGTGTGAGCCGTAGTTGTATCGTACTTGGCTGTTGGATAATATAATAAAGAGAATCCACTAAATACAGAATGCATGAAGAGAGGCTGTAGTTCCAAGCATTCCTTGTAGTTACTTAGGCAATTTAAAATTCACTGTCATCACGCAAATTATTAGAATTATCAATTACATCTGTATTTTTATAGATATATGATACCAAGATATACTGTTACATAGTTATGTTACGTTATTTTGGCTGATACAGAGTAATCGATTGCTGCTGTAGAAGCAGATGTTTATACAATTCTCTCTGTAGATCTGACAAAGAGAAATAAGGTCCGAGATGCGCGCCGATTAAAATATATACCGTATTTCTGATATTACGTATATACAGTCAGGGCGCATTTATCTGCAAATTTTTACTTCTGGCACACCAGCGTAGCAGCCACACTATCATGTATTTGGGTAAATAGACAGAAAGACAGACAGACACTTGACTGACTGACCGGCAAAGCAACGCAGAAGATCGAGACAAGACTGACTGCGCTCACGCACAACAGGACAGGGAGGCACAGCGGAGACAGCTCATAGACGACTCTGCAGCCACGGATATCCGCGCGACATGCGAAGCAAACGGCCAGCGGCAGGCGATGACAATAAATCTTATTCCGCCTGCCCTTATATAGTAAAATTTCGGCCAGTGCGCCTTTGGGTAGGCAGGATAAGAGCGCGTATGAACCGGTCAATTGAGGAGTTCGCTGGGCGATTCCAAACAAGCCTTTCGACTATGCACGTGAGGTCGAGAATAAATACAGAATGCTGGTAATTGGCTCGTGTTGGGCTGGTCGGCGGCGTTTCTTTTCGTCTAGAAAAGCGAGTTGTAGTTCTTCCGTTTCACGCCCTGAATTATTCTCGTACATTATTGGCGTGCCATAGATGCGCGACGAGGCTCTCTGGAGGGATTTTCAAGTATTTTTTCCAACCACAAGGATGGTCGGCGATCGGGTTTTAGGACTGCTCCCGACGGTGGAGAGTTCCACACGCTGCACTAACCTATAACTTTGAGTGTGCGAAGATACTTGTCCGAGTTTAAGGTCCGTAAGCCAGTCCTACCTCGAATCGGACGTGCGAGTCAAATTTATCGAGCCATCTTAGTACCCCCGACGGATTGCTAAGCCACTTGATGATGTTTGTTTTTTCACTGAGAATTCCTACTAGATGTTATCTGGAAAAGCGCTAGCTCGTAACGTGCACAGTTTTTGCAACCTCTTGACCCCGCGCTGCCCGGGACGGCACGGGTCGTGCGAGCACAATGCTGGCGTGGCCGCGGCAGTTTTACACGGTAGTAAATCCATACAATAGCCGCATCGAAAACTGACACACAAAAAATATATAATATCCACTGTTTTTACGAAGACGGCGAGCGCGACATCTCCAGCTCCCATCCCTCCCAGAGGGCCGCGCTCACGTGGCGGTCTGGCACGGTCCAAATGCTATATCCAAACGAAAACGCTGGGCTGCGGAAGTTTTTGCGCTGGCGGTGACTCGTAGAAAATAGTTTGTATTTATTTAGGCATTCCATTTTATTGATAAACAGCTGGGCAAGTTGCGATGCTTTGTGCCGGCCTGGCTGCGTGCACGGCATTGATGCATGTATATAAGATTACGTCTTATTAACCGTCGTGGGCGGCGGAGCGAGCGACGAAGAGAGAGAGAGCAGAGAAGAGAGAGGAGAGACGACGACCGGTGGGAGTGCGAGAAAGGAGAGAAAGAGAGTGGGAGAACGCCAGATAAGGTACGAACTACGGCAGGGTGACCGGTACGGACGACGGCGAGGATGTAGCAGACGCGTGTCAATCTATAATCGGAAAGGCCCGCCCTCCACAAGCCGATGTAGGCCGAGCGATGTACGTGTCCCGAAAACTGTGCGATGCTTAGGCTGGCCCCGCCTATCATCGCATTCCGCGTCGGCATGGCGCAGGCGCCTTATCGCTTCGCGCGACGACCATCTCGTATAGCGGTGGAGCGCGGAGATGCTACATACAACACCCCGCGCAAAGTCGCGTGCGCTCAGTCCCCGGAAGTGCGCGGCTTAACCGCTTTCGCGCGGAGACAACGGGCATCTTTTGCGCAACGCCATATTGTACCCGGTCTCTCTGGATGAAATGCCAGTAACAAATTAAGACGGAAAAAAAAAAATTTACCGCTACATAGTACCGAACATCTAAACATCGACTTGCCGCATAAATGCATTTAATCACTCTCTCAAAGAGACTTACTCAAACAACGACTTGACAAAAACAAAGACAAAAAGACAAAAACAAAAACAAGACACTTGTTCAAACAACAAATGTGGAAGCGGCACTTGCAACTTTTCAAAATTGTGAAATAGCTAGAACTCAAATCAAGTCTAACTGATCAAATCAAAACTGTCTACATAACAGATACGTTAGTACTACCGCTCGATCGATGGAATCCCTTGTGCAAGCGGGCCTATTTCCCGCATAAGACAATGGAATGACATCTTTAGGTGTGTTGCCCTCAGCCCTGACCTTTACCATAAATTTGTAACAACAATAACCCAGCAATGGTGCAAACTTGTGTACATGAGCCCAGAGGAGCTATTTGGCCAGGTATTATACATTCTAGGTAGGACATGTTGCCATAGAGCAATACCTTGCTTCACACAAGTAATTAATGCATTCCAGAAAAACAGCTGAGCTTGTTATGGAAAATGTGTAACATGAAAAAGGTTTTCCCCACCCACGGAGTCATAGTGATTATATTGCGAGAAGAGTCGTCGATAAAATATGAATAAAAATTTCAAATAGAGCGATATATATATATCTATATAATTAATCCCACCACCACCCCACCCCCCACGGAGAGACCTCAACCGGATGTGGAGCTATTTGAGAGCATGGACAAGTGAGGCCAACCATAGTCCCGGCGAGGCCCGTTGTCAGCACACACATCCCGTAAAGTTACAATGCTGAATGTTAATGCTACCGATAACAGCTTAGCGAGCGAGGTACATGCACGGACCGACGATGAAAATCGAGATGTTTACTAGAGTACAAGGCATTACGAGAGCGCACTTACTCTTTTTAGAATATTTAAAATATTCGTATAGGAAGAGAGCATCCTGTACACTACATACAGCCAACCTTCACAGAAGAATAAGCATGATCATCAAAACATGAATCCAAGTCACCGACATCTATGTAAAAAGATGATATACAAAGTAAGCATTACAAGCACATCTATGCTAATTATTGAGCGCGACCTATCCGACTTCCATAATCGATTACTCGATTCGGTAAGACCAACCGTAATCGATTATGCAATTCAGCCCGCTGCGAGCCGAGCTATATTGATGAGGACTGATTCGGATGAGAGCGCCTGATACCACACTCGGACACCTGCGCTACTATCGAGTTTTACAGAAAGAGCGAGAAACTGCAGGGGATGATCACCATCATATATCATAGAGCAGATCATAGCGCAGATGCAATAAGAAGCCTATGCAAACATAGAGAGAGAGAGTTAAAGCCCTTATACCTAAAGCCATCCTAAAGCGCCTTGAAGCCAAGACACGTACACTGCACGCGACAGCAAGCCGACCGTACGGAATGACACACCACACCCTTTTTTGCGAGGAAAAATAGAACTTGGTTCCTATGAGCCATTGCACCACACGCACGACACAAGCGACTCATCTATCTATATCTCTCCAATAAGCCCAAAATAGGAACTGTATCTATCTAGTGCGAGGCTTCGCGAACAACGGAGCTCCGCACATGGCGAGCGAGAGCGGCAAAGCGAACTGCGCGTCTAATCTATAGCGTGCAGCTGTGCAAACTATACCGGTCACTGTACTACACCAGTACGTCCAGTACTGACAAATTCTGCAAGCGTACATTCTTACTTATAATTATCTTCCCATGCGCGTATACCGAGAGTGGAATTTGCAGCTTGAGCTTCTATTTAAAAAGCAGCAGCAGGAGTTTTGCCATTGTTCATTGTGAGATGTGTACACTGTACCACTGGCACGTGTGGCGAGTGATGGGTGAACTTTGACCCAACGTCGGTCGCTG